TTTAACAAATACAGAAAAAAAAATAGTGAAATCCTTAAATAATAAAGCTGAAGCTAATTACAAAAATCGAATTTCAATGAACTCAATTCAAGAAAACATCGGTATTCATCAATTTGTAACAGAAAATACAAAACAATTTTTTTCAGCACTTAGCATTGACTATAATTTTATAAATTATGACCCAGAAACTTGGCTAGAAAATGAAAGTTTCAATTATGGCTATAATAAAGTCAAATTCTTATACGTTGTGAATCATCCAGCAGAGAGAGAAGTAGCTTTGATGACAAATTTTAATAACTCCTTAACGACAGACGAGGAACAAAGACAACATCCTTCAAGTTGTTGAAAAACACAGAAGTGACTTTCCCGATGAAAAAAAATCATCTTTGACTAACAAAAAAAAAAGAAATTAATAAATACAATTATTTATATGTGTTTGTTATTTTAGTGTTCTAAACATTTGTAATAAAAATTGTGGAAAAAATTATTCTATAAAAACCATTAAGTACAAGAAAAATATTAGCTTCAATGCGAAACTGAGAAGGTATTAGTTTTACTATGATGTGTTTATTTTTTTATTTTTTTTTTTTTTGTGTCTGTTACCACTTTTTCTCAGCTCTCACAAAACGGATTTCTTTCAACGATACGTCGAAAGATCACAAATCGTATCTAGTCGAAGACATTACTCTCAAAAATTGAAAAAAATTTTCCTCGTTCCCCGTAAATGGGGGAGACCTCCAAAAAAATTACAAATTTAAAAATCGCTAATTTTCGAAATTTTTTCAATTTTTTTTACTAAAAACTGCCGTAATTTTTTCAAAAATGAACATATCAATATAATTTTTTTTTTATATATACTTGATGTCTTTACCTATCATTTGGCATATAATTTTTATAAATCTAACACTTAACCTGCCCACAGGGGGGGATTTAAAATGACAACTTTTTCACAAAAAATTAACTTTTGAAAGTGTTCCGGAAGGTCTGACACTTTTATATATATCTTAAATTAAAGGTAATGAAATGTACTTTATTATTAAAAAAAAAAATTGACCTATGAACTTGTCTTCGTGGTGAAAATGGCTACCGAATGCTATTTTTGTGTGAAAATTCTCGATTTTATTTTTTACATTTTTAACTTTATAATGCTATAACTTATTGAAAAGTGTATGGATCAACACAATTTTTTTATGAAAAATAATATTTTTTTATAATCTCTTTTTCATTCGACATACTTTATCTTAATCAGGATATTAATAAGGAACTAGCAGTTTATGAAGCTTTTGGAATAATCCACCAATTTTTTAAAATTAAACACTATCTAAAGATTTGCATCGAAGCGTTTTTTTTTGATAGTGATTTTAATCACTGTCAGATATCATTATACTTGATCCAACTATGCCACGTCACCACTGTGCCGCGACCCCCCTGTTCTGGGTTTTTTTAATATTAAGTTAATTATATGATTTAATAAAACATCATAATAAAGTATTAAATTTTATTATTAGTAAAAAAAATTTTTAATTAATTTAACTATTAATTTTGTAAAACTTAAAAAAAATTTTTGGCCCCTTTCAGATCGATCCGAAAAGTATCATATACTTAGACGTTTAGGTAAATTACGTAATCAATATAGGTCTTAGAAATTAGAAAACTATAAAATCGTTTTCTACATTAAAAATACAACATTTTACATATATAGATGATTATAATTGACCAAAATTTAGAATTTTAATCATATTTTAATAAATAAGGGGTATTTTTGGTAAAAATACGAAAAACGCTTTGAGCGACCTGTAAAAATTTTTTTATCGACCTCAAATTGTCAAAACATGTTTTTTTTTATATACTTAATAAATATAGAGGGTGTCTGATAAAAATTTTTGAAGTCGATTTTTTTGCGCCACCCTACACTGTAGATGGATCTTGCATAATGAAATAAATAAATATTAAGTGTGGGCGGATGGCTACCTAAGATTAAACTTATAACTAACAACTTACCGCTATGCCACCAGAAATTTTTTTTTTTTTTACCACACACTTAACAGCAAATGAATGTACAAAGTACTTATTTCACAAATAAAAAATACAAATGTAGTGACTAATACAGGTAATATTGAACTAAATAATTTGAATAAAAATAATTAGATAATCTTACATAAAAATTATAGTTTAATTACTATATTACTGTCCCTTTTTTTTTTTTTTTTTATATAATGATCTAATTAATTAAATTAAATGAATTAATGAAATATTTTAGCTTCGATGCGAAGCTGAGAAGGTATTGGTTTTACTATGATGTGTTTTTTTTTTTTTTTTTTTTGTCTGTTACCACTTTTTCTCAGCTCTCACTGAACGGATTTCTTTCAACGATACGTCAAAAGATCACAAATTGTATCTAGTCGAAGACATTACCCTTCAAAATTGAAAAAATTTCCCTCGTTCCCCGTAAATGGGGGAAACCTCCAAAAAAATTACAAATTTAAAAATTGTTATTTTCGAAATATTTTCAATTTTTTTTACTTAAAACTGCCATAACTTTTTAAAAAATGTATGGATCAATACAATTTTTTTTTGTTAAATAATATTTATATACTTCTTTCATTCGACGTACTTTTTTTTTTAAATCGGACTATTTCCCTTAATACAGGGAGGGGTTCAAAACATAAAAATGCATATATGTAATATACTTTAATATTAAAAAAAAAAATTTCGGACTTTATTTTGTCTTCATGATGAAAATAGCTACGGTGTTCAAAAATATGCTATTTTTGCTATTTAAAATTCTTGGTTTTGTATTTCATTTTATTATTAGGGGATTACACTGATTTTCATAAATATTATATCAATCTAATTGACATGGTATAAAAAGATAAACATATTTTTTTTGTTTCTTTGAAGTCGAAAAAAATAACTTTAAAATTTGAACTAGCTAAATTTCCATTTTTATTAAGTGACGAATGCGACGTACGGTTTCTGAGAAGGTAACACTTGGATCTTTCACGTCTGTGACACTGAATTTTTTCTTAATTCTTTTTGAGTTAGAAAAAAATGTTAAACTCATTTGATTTTTATCTCATTTAGATTCAATAACTTCAATTAATATCAATTCCCATTACTGTAGTCTCCTGTAGTGAAAAGAATTCATATTAATATTATTTTACTATGTGGTTTTTTTTTGTAGCTATCATTTATTTTCTCAGCTCTCACTTGACATACTTTTTTGACAAATTTTTTTTTTTAATTAAACATTATCTATAGATTTGCATCGAAGCGTTTTTTATGATAGTGATTTTAATCACTGTCAGATATCATCTATACTGGACCCAACTATGCCACGACCCCACTGTGCTGTTGCTTTTGTTTGAACAAGATTAGCTAAAATTTGCCCCTTATTTCTGCGTGCCGCAACTTAAAATGCACTACGATCACGTCGAGGTTACCAAATTTTGCCGCCTGGGCTGTTCTAAAAAATTCAAAATAAAAATGGGGAATAGAACTCCATCGTACGGCTTAAAATAGGGGCAAGTAATAATTAACAAAAAAAGTTTCTAATCAATTTAAAATTGCTATAAGAAAAATATTTTTTGTCAACACAAAATAAGCTTGTTCAGTTTAATAAATGCAACTAAATAGTCAAATACGAACAACCGAATCTTTTATTGCTGAATTAAATAATCAAGAAATATAACCATCCATATTACTTACATTCAGTTCTACATTTTGCTTGAATAATTTGAATAAAATGAACTACAATTTATAAAAGTGATATGCTACCTGTAGTTTTATTATAATAATGTTCTAACCAATGAAAAAAAAACAGAATACAACTATATGAATTTACAATAATAACATGAACAATGTATTTTAAAACGAAACTTGAACAAAGTTTTTACTGATTCATACAAAAACAACAATTAATTCAAATGAAAGACCAACGTAACTTAAACTAAACTGTATAATACAACAAGTACATATATTTCTTTTTTGAATAAAACGACTAAACAATACAGGCCACTGATAAGGCGTCCTAACAGCTGATAGCGTACAAGCATTACCAGCTGATCACACCCAACCAGTGCAGCTCTCACACTTGTGCTGGTTTTTTCAAAATATAAATGCCTATTCCTGTTTGGAATTTAAATGTTTAAAATATTCATGAATAATAATTTTTAACTGCAATAATGATAATCTATATACAAATTAGTGCTCAATGAGTGTTTAGACATTATTAGTTTTTTGACGGCAATTAAAATTGACAACTAGTCCGGTTATTTTCTAATTGAATCTGTTATTATCTCTTAGCTTACTTTATAATTTATGCATTAGTGATGCCATTGTGCTCTTAGTTTAATAATTGGTGTATGAAAAGTGTTGATTTAAATTCTCATTATTTTATTATAATATTAGTGCTGATGTCAATATTATTCTTTAAGCTGTCCTACATAACAATGTTATTGGATAAATATTAAAAATTATTATTCGAACAAAAATTTATTCAAATTTTTTGTACCAAAAATTCTATTATAAAAAAAAAATTAATATAAAATTTTATTTGGAAAATACTATTTATTCGTATTCGAAACACTCTAATATTTTACAAAAAAATTTAATAATAGTGAAACGTTTAATTAGGAAAGTTTCAGCCTTAAATTGATATCATATTGAAGAATTGGTTTTTTTGTTATTTAATTACATAAATGATTCGATTTTATTACAATTCCCAAGTATAGTAATATAATAATAAATATAGAAATATACCAACTTTTTTTATTAAAAAGAATCAAATTAAATATTTATAATTAATTGAAAAAGAATCAAAATTTATGAATTTTTAATGATAAAAATCATTAAATCGTCACCAACGTCAAAAGTCATAATTATAATTTTCAATTTTATTAACAAGATTAATTAATTTTATATATTTATTAGATATCTTTTTGGTAAGCAAAATAAAATTGTAATATGTTAAAAATTAATTAATTATTATGCTCAATTAGGAATTGTAAATAGATATTCGGAAGACAAAAATAAATGTCAATTTAAAAAAGGTACGACGAGTACAGCTGCTAAAATCGGTGACATAGGAACATTAAAACTTGCTTACGAGAGTGGATGTGAATGGGATGATGATACAACAAAAAAAGCTGCTGCGAATGGGCATTTGGAATGTCTAAGATATGTACATGAAAATGGATGTAAATGGGATGAAAAAACCACAAAAGCTGCAGCTGCCAAAGGACATTTAAAATGCTTAAAATATGCACATGAAAATGGATGTAAATGGGATGAAAAAACCACAGAGGCTGCTGCAGCAAATGGAAATTTGAAATGCTTAAAATATGCTCATAAGAAAGGCTGTAAATGGGATAGGAAAACAACAAAGGCTGCTGCTGCAAATGGCCATTTGAAATGCTTAAAATATGCTTATGAAAAGGGATGCAGATGGGATAACGATATAACTATAGTTGCTGCAGAAGGAGGCCATTTAGACTGCTTAATGTATGCTCATGAGAAGGGATGCAGATGGGGTGAAGAAACAACTACAGTTGCTGCAGAAGGTGGTCATTTAGATTGCTTAATATATGCTCATGTAAATGGATGTCAATGGAATGTGTGGACAGCAGACGCAGCAGCAAATTATGGTAATTTGGAAATCTTAAAATACGTTCATGAGAAAGGCTGTAAATGGGATCGAAAAACCACAAAATCAGCTGCTTTAAATGGAAATATAAAATGCTTAAAATATGCTCACGAAAACGGTTGCGAATGGGACAAAGAGACAACTAGAGCTGCTGCACAACGTGGCCATTTAGACTGCCTAAAATATGCTCATGAAAACGATTGCGAATGGGACGAAGAGACAACTAGAGCTGCTGCACAAGGCGGCCATTTAGACTGCTTAATTTATGCTCATGAAAATGGCTGTAAATGGGATGAAACTACAACAGTGGCGGCTGCACAAAAAGGCAGTTTAGAGTGTTTAAAATATGCTCACCTAAATGGTTGCAATTGGGACGAAGGAATGACTATGGCTGCTGTATTAGGAGGTAATTTGGATTGTTTAATATATGCACATCAAAATGGATGTGGTTGGAATGACATAATAACGCAAATAGCTGCTTTTAGAGGTGATTTAAATATGATGAAATATGCTCATGAAAATGGTTGTCCTTGGTCTAAAAACACATTATTTATAGCTGCTGAGAATGATAACTTAGATTGCATAATATATGCTCACAAAAATGGATGTCCATGGAATGAAAAGACAACTGGAGTTGCAGCTTATAATGGTAACTTAGAAATATTAAAATACATACATGAAAACGGTTGCGAATGGGATAAAGAAACATTATTATTAGCAGCTACGAAGGGTAATTTAGATTGTTTAAAATATGCTTATGAGCATGGATGCCGCTATTGGGTCGAAGGTACTACTAGAGGAGCTGCTAAAAACGGACATTTAGACTGTCTGAAATATGCTTATAACAATGGTTGTCAATGGGATGAAGGCACGACAAGGGAAGCCGCTGCGAATGGTTTCATTGACTGTTTGGTATTTGCTTGTGAACACGGTTGCGAATGGGACGAAGAAACAACTAGTGTTGCTGCACAAGGTGGCCATTTAGACTGCTTAATATATGCTCAGAAAAACGGTTGCGAATGGGACGAAGAAACAGCTACAGTTGCTGCACAAGGCGGCCATTTAGACTGTTTAATTTACGCTCATGAAAATGGATGCAAATGGGACAAGGAAACAACTAGAGGTGCTGCACAAGGCGGACATTTAGACTGCTTAATTTACGCTCATGAAAATGGATGCGAATGGAACAAAGAAACAACTATAGTTGCTGCACAAGGCGGCCATTTAGATTGCTTAATTTATGCTCATAATAATGGATGTGAATGGGATGAAACAATAACGAAACAAGCTGCACTTAATGGTGATTTAAAAATGTTAAAATACGCTCATGAAAATGGATGTAATTGGGCCACACGTACAATAATTTCAACTGTCGAAAGTGGTTGTTTGGATTGCTTGAAATATGTCCATGAAAACGGCTGCGATTGGGATGACGAAACGACTAGAGTTGCAGCAGAAAACGGATATTTGGACTGCTTAAAATATGCTCATGAAAAGGGATGTAATTGGGCTGCATATACAATAATTTCTTCTGTCTTGTTTGGATATTTAGACTGCTTAAAATACGCTCATGAAAATGGATGTAAATGGGAAGAAGGAACGACTAGAATTGCTGCAAGAGGTGGCCATTTAGACTGTTTAATATATGCTCATGAAAACGAATGTCCATGGGATATAGGCACTACAAAAGCGGCGGCAAATAATGGTCATTTAGAATGTTTAAAATACGCTCATGAAAACGGATGCAAATGGGATAACGGCACAACTAGAGCAGCTGCTGCACTCGGTTATTTTGATTGTTTGAAATATGCACATGATAATGGATGTGAATGGGACGAAATAATAATGGAATTGGCTGTTTCTAGAAGTGATTTTAAAATATTAAAATATGGCTACGAAAATGGACATCCAATGAATGCAAACGCATATAGAGCTGCCGTTTTAAAAGGTAAACTAGAAATATTAAAATATGCTCATGAAAATGGTTATAAATGGGATAAAAAAGCAACATGGTTATTTGCTGCTAACGGTCATTTACAATGTTTAAAATATGCCCATGAAAATGGTTACGAATGGGACGAAGGAACAATTGTTGCAGCAGCCGTGCATGGTAAATTAAATTGCCTAAAATTTGCCCGTCAAGTTGGAAGGGATTGGATCGAAGGTACAATGAGAGGGGCTGCTTCGAATGGACATTTAGACTGCCTTAAATATGCTTATAATAATGGTTGCAAATGGGATGAAGGCACCACGAGGGAAGCCGCCGCGAGCGGTTGTATTGAATGTTTGATATTTGCTCGTGAAAACGGTTGCGAATGGAGTGAAAATACAAAAGTTACAGCTGTCTTGCATGGTCATTTTAATTGTTTAAAATATGCTCATGTAAATGGTTGTCCTAATTAGATTTCCATTGTTTTTATTATCATTATTATTTTTATGTTAATTTATGTTGGTAATTTACATTTTATTTTAAATAATTATACTTAATATCACCAAAGGTAATAATGTTATTGATAGCATACTTTTTTTTTGCTAAATAAATCTTCTAAATTTTGTATTTATTTCACGAAGTAATACGAAATCTAACATCACCCCATTAAAAAAAAATGTCCGAATTTTTGACAATTTTCGTACCAATATTCAAATATTTATGTTAAGTTTACACCACACTTGTGTAAAATTACCGTGTATATTAAAAATATTTTCTCACAATGATAGATAGATAATAAATATTAGTATAAAATAGTTTTGCTGAAAATTAAAATAAATTACAAATATCATAAGTTTGGTGACTGAATAAATAAAAAGGTGTAACAATGACACGTGGACTACTTAAATATAAATTTTTAAAAAAATAGTATCCTATTGTTACGTTGTTTTATTTTGATAAAATATTTTTATATTAATTTGGCATATCTTTCAACTAAGCAAGTACACAGTTTTTAATAGATTTTAAAATGAAAAATTTAAATATAAAAAATATTTAAATCAATGAGCCTTAAATATTACTAAATTTCACTCAATTTTTTTAATTTTTATGTCAGAACTTTAAATAAATTTAGCCAATAGTTTCAATAATCATATTTTATATTATAATCCCAGACAAAATTTTACTATTTACTTTTTTTAATAGTATTGAAAAATGATTTTCTTTTGAATAATGTATTTTCAACATATGGCAGTAAAGTATAGATGCAAATTGTTAGGTATAGTCTTATAATCGAGTAAAAATAATTTTTAATCAATAAGTCCATAAATTTTCTTACGTGAAATTTATTATAACTTTACTATAAATTTATTTATTTTTTTTTTTAAGATTAAGAAATAAAATTGTACATATACAGGGTGGCCCACCACTCACTGACAACTTAAATAACTTTTGATCCAGTTAATATTTTTAGTTGATTTTTTTTTTAAATAATAGTTATACGTTAGGTCTATAGCTATATCTCAATAATTATTTTTTTTACATTTTATTAAAAATATTAATTATTTTTAAATTTTAAATAAAATGTAAAAAAAAAATCTAAGATAGCTATTTTGTAGAGTAGAATTTAAGAAAAATTTTAGTAAAAAAATATCTTATTAATATTCAGTAGTAAATATTCTGTAGCGTTTTGAAGTTTGTGAAAATTTGAATTTTCATGTACTATTTTACGGTATTAAACATTGAAATACGTATTGAGAAAAGGACAGAAGAAAACGCTATCTTTTCAATATACTTTTGAATGAGAGTGATAAGTAATAATTGCCTTATCTAATTTCTTATCATGGTATTAATGCCAAGTTTGTAATGTATACACATTATCATCATATGTATACACAGTAATCATGAAAAGATAGCGTTTTCTTCTGTCCTTTTCTCAATACGTATTTCAATGTTTAATACCGTAAAATAGTACATGAAAATTCAAATTTTCACAAACTTCAAAACGCTACAGAATATTTACTACTGAATATTAATAAGATATTTTTTTACTAAAATTTTTCTTAAATTCTACTCTACAAAATAGCTATCTTAGATTTTTTTTTTACTTTTTGTTTAAAATTTTAAAATAATTAATATTTTTAATAAAATGTAAAAAAATTAATTATTGAGATATAGCTATAGACCTAACGCCAAGGCGTAACATTTATTACAACTTTCACATTGTATTTTATAAATGCCTGATTTCCCCCCTTCATCTACCTTATCTTTAGGGTTACCTAATAAATCTCTTAAATTATTACTCTTAGATGTTACCAAAGTAATACCAAAATTCTTAAATATTTTAGTTAATCCATTTGAGATGCCCGGATAAAATAAAATTGGTGATCTAATTACTTTTTGTTCCCCCTCGCTGGAGAGTGTACTAGCTGCCCTCCTTTCTTTTTTCCATTTTTGTTTGTAAAATACAATGTGAAAGTTGTAATAAATGTTACGTAGGACAAACAAAAAGAAATATAGGGGTCAGGTTTAAAAAGCACTTAAGAAATATTAAAAATCAAGAAATTGAGAAATCTCCAGTGGCTGAACATTTATTGACACATAATCACTCTATTAAAACCATAAAACTAATTAAAAACGTAAATAATTACAAAGAACTTAATATCAGAGAAGCAATAGAAATGTTTAAAAATAAAAACAATTTAATTAATTGGGATCTTGGCCCACTGAAAAATTCATTATTAAACTTGTGTAAACTGGCAAAATGTGATAATATTACTTAGTGATAACGTCACTAGGTGATAAGGTCACTAGGGGTATATAAGGGAGTTTTTTCTAGTCGGGGTGTCAGTATGTGTTTAGCGTTGATAATGGTAACATTGTTTCCGAAATACGTATCCGCGACTTTTCATTAATTTTTTTTTTGTGGCTTTGAGTTTAATAATATTTTTAATATTTTTTAGTTTTTTTTTAAATTAATAATATTTTTAATATAGTTTTAATTTTACTTTATTATCTATAATATATTATAATTATAATACTGTATAACTTAAGTTATATTTAGTTATAATATTTTAGTAATATTAGCTGTTATTATGATATCAATTTTTCTAGTGTTACTACTGAACTAATTATCACATTAGTTTACATTAATCATGATAAACTCATCAGACATAGTAAACTTTAAATCATAGTAGCTAAAATATTACAAAAAATGTAGCATCCCTTTTGTAATATAAAAGCCATAATACGTCGTTACTTTCCAAGAAATCAAAAAACTAATTTCGGAATTTCATAATATTTCATAAAATTTCAATTAATTTATAATTTGGAATATTATGAGTTTATTTTGGTTATCCAATAACACTAGTTTACAACAAAATTGACCTATGACTTATGATAGTCATTTTTAATGTAAAATCGTCCACTGAGTTCGAAAATGAAGTCCAAAATACAAAAAGTAGAACAGTTTTTGAGTTATTGCGAAATTAGCGTTTTTCGTGTACCGCGAAAAAACGTTTTCATTATATTCTAAATATCTTTAATTGCATTCAACTGATTTTCATTTTTTTTACATAAAATTAAACAATATTAAATTACCTATAACTTTTATCTTAAAAAATTTTTTAATTGACTTTTTTGTCGTTTGCTATCTACGAATTTACCACTGAATTTTTATCATTTTTTTCAAAATATCAGAAAAAATTCAGAGTTTTACGTAAAATACACCAATAAAAAATAAATTTATCAACAATAATTTCAATAGACGTTATACTCTAATACATAACAAAGAAAATGATATATTATTTTGTAAAATTGATAAAAAAATGAAGAAGTTATGCGCGATTGAAAAATAAAACTAATTTCCTAATATCAGAGTTTTCTAATTCGATGCTTTAATTTTGTAAAATATAGAAAAATTACTGACAATATTACTTTTCAAAACAAAATTACGATTTTTTAAATAACTTAAGGTTATTTCCTTCAAAATGAAATTTTGAATTACGAACCAAAAAACTTCGCCTTGGCCTCACTGCTCATCACTAATTGGTAGCACTGAACATTTTGTCATTTGAAATAAAACGGATAAATTTATTTTGGTCATAAAAGCGTTTTATATTCTATTAATACAAGGTGTGACAATAAAATAACGAGACTTTCTAAATATATCCTAAACTATTAACGTTATCTATAAAACTATTATTGAAATATGATTAGGAAACACTTATATAAAAGTACTATAAACAATGATGAAGTCGGTTAACTTTCTTATACGTTAGTAACCTTGTTATTAGTGCAAATTCGACTATACTGCCGAAAAATGTTAGATATAAAAGTCGAACAACGTGTTAACATTAAATTTCTCGTTAAATTAAAAAAAACTGCCGCAGAATCATTTCGTATGTTATGTGAAGTTTATGGTGAAGAATATTTATCAAGAGCTCACGTTTTTTAATGGCACAAACGGCTTTGCAATGGAAGAGAGGACGTGGAAGACGATGATCATTCTTGACTTCGTACCACATGTTCAACAAACGAAAAAGTCAAAAAAATTGATAAAATTATTCGGCAAGACCGTCGATTAAGTGTTAGAGCTGTAGCAGAGATGGTAAATATTGATAAAGATAGTGTTCGTAAAATTTTAGTTGAAAATTTAAATATGAAAAAATTGTGTGCTAAAATGGTCCCTAAAAATTTGACGATTGATCAAAAATTCAATCGCAAAGAAATTTGTTCTGACACCTTAAAAATGATCAAAGATGATCCATCTTTTATAAATAATATCATTACGTGTGATAAAACGTGAATTTTTACATATGATTCTGAAACTAAAAGGCAATCTATGCATTGGAAGACATCAACTTCCCCAAGAATGAAGAAAGCACGAATGAGCAAGCAATGCTCATTGTTTTCTTTGACATTAAGGGAATAATTTTTGTTGAATGGGTTGTTAATGGGTAAACTGTCAACCAATTTTATTATAAATATGTATTAATTAAATTAAGAGAACGTGTTAGAAAAAAGCGACCAGATCTGTGGAAGAATGGCTGGGTTCTTCACCAAGACAATACTCCAGCTCACAGTGCATTTTTAATTCAAAGTTTTTTAACTGAAAAAAATATTTCTATACTTCAATATCCCCCGTACTTGCCAGACCTTGCTCCTTGTGACTTCTTCTTATTTCCAAAAATTAAAAGTTTTTTAAAAGGAACCCATTTTCAAACGTTTGATGACGTAAAAATGAAAACGGCAGAACTTCTAAAAGGACTAACTGAAAGCGATTGGCAATATTGTTTTCAAGAATGGCAGCGACTTATGCAACAGTGTGTTGATGCTGAGTGAAGGTACATTGAAGGTGACAATCATTAAATTTTTAAATTTTTAAAATAAATAACTTTTATTAAAAAAGTCTCGTTATTTTATTGTCACACCTATACGAGGTGTGACATAGAAAATATGAATATACGATTCATATTTTCTACGATATTTAAATAATCCATATAACTATTTTACGTTTATTTTTATAAAGATAAAAATGAGTTCGAATAAACGTCAATGTAAGTGTAAGAATAACCCCAATAAATTTTGTTATGCGTGTGGCGAATATATTTTTGTTACACAGCCGAATTTTACTAGTACATTGCTATCTGCGTATTGTCTTTACTTTAATATTTCTCCAGAGAACTTAAGTGAATCGTGGACGCCAAATGTCTTATGTAACACGTGCAAAACTGGATTAACAATGTGGATGACAAGCGCAAAGTAAAAAAAAATATATATTTTTGAAATTGTTTACATTATTTATGTATAAAATAAATAAAATCTTAAAAATTTTCATTTGCTTTAGACGATACTTATCATTTGATGTACCAACAATTTGGCGACAACCAATGTGTCACGAAGTTGATTGCTACTTCTGCTTGACTAAAATAAAGCAACATCGACGTCATAAAACAGTTGAATATGCACATATAAACTCCATGTCAAAACCAGTTCCACATTTACTCTCAGTTAAATATCATGTTTGCCCCAAAAGGAAAAAAGAATATAGTGAATCGCCAGAATCCAGTAATCATGCCGAGTGTAAGACTGACATTAGTTTTAAACTTGAAAAAATTCCGAAGCTTTTTACCCAAACTGAACTTAATGATTTAATAAGAGATTTAAAATTCTCAAAGGAAAAATCAGAGTTATTGGCGTCAAGATTGCAAGAACGAAATTTATTAAAATCACAAGTAAAAGTTACATTTTACAGAAGTCGTCAGAAAATTATGCTCAATATTATATAAAAAAAACAATGTTTGTTATTGTAACGAAATTTACGGTTTGTTTAAAGAATTTGGTGAGCCATATGATCCAACCGAATGGCGTTTGTTTATTGATAGCAATAAACTAAGTTTGAAAGCAGTTTTACTGCACCAAGGAAACATCAAACCTTCAATTCCATAAGCGCATGCTGTAAATATGAAAGAATCGTATGAATCAATGGATATATTACTTTCTCTAATCAACTACAATAAACACAATTGAAAAATTTGTGCAGACATTAAAGTCATTGCAATGGTAACTGGCTTGCAACAAGGATACACAAAATACATGTGTTTTTTGTGTACATGGGATAGTCGAGCACGTCAAGAACATTACACACGAAAATATTGGCCAGATCGAGTTAACTTAACAGTGGGCAAAGAAAATGTCAAATTCAATCCTCTTGTTAATAAAAATAGAATAATCCTGCCACCTTTACATATTAAACTTGGACTTTTTAAAAATTTTGTTAAAGCTTTAAATAAAAATGGAAATTCATTTACTTATTTGAAAACTGTGTTTCCACATTTGTCTGATGCAAAAATCAAAGAAGGTATTTTCATAGGACCACAAATAAAAAAACTAATGAACGACTCCAATTTTGTGTTAACTTTATCAAAAGACGAGGCTTTAGCATAGAACTCGTTTCGTTTGGTTGTAAATACTTTTTTAGGAAAATTCAAAAGTTTAAATTATAGAGAAATAGTAGACGATTTATTGATAAACTATTCAAAAATAGGTACACAGTACATTTTATAATTTTATTATTTTCTGAATAAAAGATACATTTATATTTTTTAATTTTATCGGAAATAGGGGTGAAAATGTCATTGAAAATACATTTTTTTCATGCACACTTAGATTTTTTTCCTGAAAATCTTGGAAATGAAAGCGATGAGCATGGTGAACGTTTTCATCGACAAATAAATGATATAGAACGTCGTTACCAAGGGTTTTGGGATGAAGCAATGATGGATGACTATTTGGTTTCTTATAAGAGAAAGCAATGAAATATACAAAAGAAATATTAAGACTAATACGTCCTATTTTTAGTTCAATAAAAATTATTCTTTGGTTATCATAAAACTAATTACAAAAAATATCATAGCGAAAATTATAATTGTTTTCATATTTGTAAAACTTAATTATTTATTTTATTTATTATATATTAAATTTACTATATTTAAAATGATTTTCTAAATCCATGCTAAAACAATTTCAATTTTCTTAATTCTATAGAAAATTACTTTATATTTTTGGAGAATTATCATTTTTTTTTAAATACGAAAATTTATTACAACCCCACCAAACAGTAAAATTAAATCAATTTAAAAATATCCCAATAAAACTATATGAAATAACCTTAAGTTATTTAAAAAATCGTAATTTTGTTTTGAAAAGTAATATTGTGAGTAATTTTTCTATATTATACAAAATTAAAGCATCGAATTAGAAAACTCTGATATTAGGAAATTAGTTTTATTTTTCAATCGCGCATAACTTCTTCATTTTTTTATCAATTTTACAAAATAATATATCATTTTCTTTGTTATGTATTAGAGTATAACGTCTATTGAAATTATTGTTGATAAATTTATTTTTTATTGTTGTATTTTACATAAAACTCTGAATTTTTTCTGATATTTTGAAAAAAATGATAAAAATTCAGTGGTAAATTCGTAGATAGCAAACGACAAAAAAGTCAAATAAAAAATTTTTTAAGATAAAAGTTATAGGTAATTTAATATTGTTTAATTTTATGTAAAAAAATGAAAATCAGTTGAATGCAATTAAAGATATTTAGAAGATAATGAAAACGTTTTTTCGCGGTACACGAAAAACGCTAATTTCGCAATAGCTCAAAAACTGTTCTACTTTTTGTATTTTGGACTTCATTTTCGGACTCAGTGGACGATTTTACATTAAAAATGACTATTATAAGTCATGGGTCAGAAAATTTTTTTTTATTTGTAAACTAGTGTAATCAATAATTCTTAAAACATATCCCTACATTGACCATCTGTACAAAGAATGTTATAATGACATTTCCATATAGCAACTAATATGGAAACATAGAAGCAAGTTTAGTATTAAAAATTTATAACTTATAATATTTTCTTGCTTTTTTAGCTTCGATGCGATGCTGAGAAAGTATTAATTTTACTATGATGTGGTTTTATTTTTTTTTTTTATTTTTTGTCTGTATATGCTCAATCTCAGATCTCGCTGAAACGATTATAATGAAAAATATGTCAAAAGATCACAAATCGTATCTAATTGAAGACATTACCCTCAAAATTTGAAAAAAAAATCCCTCGTTCCTCGTAAACGAAGGAAATCCCCCAAAAAATTACAGATTTAATTATCGGTAATTTTCGACATTTTTCAATTTTTTTACTTAAAATTGCCTTAAACTTTTTTTAAAAATGATCGAATCAATATAATTTTTTTTTTTTTTATAGATACCTTAGGTATTCACCTATCATTTTATAAATTTTTGTGAACATTTGACCCTTTTTCAAACCCACCGAAAGGGTTTCAAAATGGTAACTTTTTTACAAAAAATTAACTTTTTCAACTTAACTTTTGTAAATGTTCCGGAAAGACTGATACTTTTATATACATCTTAAATTAAAGCTTATGTAGTACACTTTAATTTAAAAAAAAAATTTGACATCTGGATTTGTCTTCGTGGTGAAAATGGCTATCGTATTCAAAAATATGCTATTTTTGTGTTAAAATTTTGGGTTTGTATTTTATTTTATTTTAAGGGGAGTACAGATTTTCATAAATATTATATAAATAAAAAATTGATATAGCATAGAAAATTAAACTGATTTAAATTTCATTGCTTTTTGAAGTCGAGGAAAATAACTTTGAAATTTGAACTAGCTGAAATAACCAACTTTTTCAGCCGACGGTAACGATATACGGTTGCCGAGTCGGTAAACCTTGTGTTTTACGCGCTGGGGGTACAAGGTTCCAACCCACGTATGTCATGAATTTTTTGCATTTTTTCTTAATTCTTTTAAAGTTAGAAAAGTTAGTTAAATTTTCAACTGATTTTTATCTCATTTAGATTCAATAACTTCAATAAAGATCAAGGATCCCATCACTGTAGTCGCCCCTTGCGAGAAGAAATTTCTGATGAAAGTTCCTTGTAGTCCAGTGCATTTATTTATANGATGAAAGTTCCTTGTAGTCCAGTGCATTTATTTATAGTAACAAATAGTTTTTATTGAAAAGTATTGCATCAAGCCCTTTAAATTTGTATACACGTAAAAGTAAAGTAAAATATAACTTCTTTATTATTTTTATAATATATCCGTATAAATTTTAATATTAAATTATTGAATATAAATTTCTTACTAAATTTAATAACTATAATTAGTATATATATATTAGGGTGTCCCTTATTTTGAAAATTTTGGAAATTCTTCGGGCTCACCCCCCAAATTTATGTGTATACATATAAAAAGTGGCTACAAAAAATTCCAGGCCGATCAGATAAGTTTAACCCGTGCCGACTTGGGGTTGAAAATCGGGCAAAAGGGGTACTTTTTTAGTTTTTAGCAATTAACTCGTAAATTAGCACTCTTACAAAAAAAAATATTAAAACTAAATTGTAGATCTAATTGTTTTGTATAAATTAAGTCCTTACAGTTTTTCTTTTAAGTCCATTAGTTTTCTAGAAAAATGTCAAAATATATAATATTTCGTAAAATTGCCGAAATTAGCATATTTACGAATATTTTATCATATATGACGAACCATATGTGATACGACCTAATGTTTCATACAAAAATTGTTTAAAATTAAATTTTACGAAATAAAAGTATTAAGTACAAATTTCATTGAACCGATCGTTTTATTGCTATAGCTGAATTAACTCGATCATATTACGATTTTTACTAAATATATGAATTTTAATGCTAGATTCTGTTAGTTATCATCTGGTTCATTACAACACTTATCGTACAAGTACGGCGATAATACTATGGTATGACTGAATTAATGTATTGTTATTATTTTTAAATTATAAATAACTCTGGAAATCGTAAATTTATTACAAATCGCAGCAATAGATATAGTGAACTTATACTTATACCACTTTAGTCGCTCACATCGCGTATTAAGTTGAACTGCTTCCTATTGTGTTTTTCTTTTAGTGTACGTAAAAATGTCCGTAGTATTAAGAAATGACAATAAAATATTTTTAATAGGGTCTTTGACTACTCAAATTTTAGGTTCAAAACTTCCATCCATTGGACAAGTTCTAAAAGTTTTTTTTTATAACCTAAGAATTGTTAATCTTACTATAAGAGCAAAAGCAGTATTGACTATTCGCGAGTGTAATATTTTCTGGGAAATGGACGATTCCATTTCAACCGAAATAAAAAAATTAATGGTTGTATCCCTTAATAATGAGTCAATAATAAACCCTAGTAAACGTTTTATTCTTTCATCGGTTCATATTGACAAATCATTTTCATGTATAATAATTTTTGATATCTTTATTTTTTGATGACTATTGAGTGATTGATATTTTTTTTTAGAAAAAACTGTAGCTTCTTTTTTGTCAAAAAGCAGTATGAAATTTTTTAAACGATTCGATATCAAATAAATAAAATACTAATTTTTTAAATTTGGATCCAAGTAATTGGAATACTGATAATTTTTATTTACACGAAAAAGAAATTGTATGTTCACTTAAAGTAGTAAATGACTCTGCAGATAAAGCGGTTAAGGTAATGGAAGATTTTCATGAAAGTTTAACTGTAAACGATGAAAAAGCTGAGTTACTTTTACACTGTGTGTTCAAGAGCATAGAATATTATATCCTAATTGCAACAAAAAAACATTAAAACATAGTTTTTAATGTATATTTTTGTTATAATTTGTGAATTATTTTGAATTTAACATTTTGTATTTTATATAGTAACTTTTTTTTAATTTATACAATAATATTGAGAAGTAAGTATCATTATGAGTTTAAGTCAAACAAATACATCACTTTACAATATAAAGGAAATATATTTAAATTAAGCAATAAAATTCATATATTTAGTAAAAATCGTAATATGATCGAGTTAATTCAGCTATAGCAATAAAACGATCGGTTCAATGAAATTTGTACTTAATACTTTTATTTCGTAAAATTTAATTTTAAACAATTTTTGTATGAAAC